GGTACGCTCTCAAAACTGTTTACTTTTTCCAGATTTCTTTGATTTTAGTTGATTTTAATTTAATAGTACTTTGATAAATCATTGCATTCCGTCCTGATCTTTACGCTCTTAAAACTCCGAATTTCTTGTTCTTCCTAAGCTCAATACTAAGGGGGGGGGGGGAGAAGAGCCTTAATTTACTCATGAAGGGCCTTCGCTGTGGAATGCTCTCCCTCAAGAAATTTTTAATAGCAGATCAGTTAATAACCTTATATCGTATCTGTTTAATTCGGTATAGGCCTTTATATAATTATTTAATCATTTTGTATGTTCTATCTTACACCCTTGTTTATAATGCAGATGTGTGAATTGAATTTCTCTTCTTCTTTTTGCGCCTTGATTATTCGCTTTCAAATGGATTCGGCACCTTACAAATCTCATATCACTATTATTATTATTATTATTATTATTATTATAAATAGCAAGATGATAATAATTCTAAGGTTTTGTAAAGTTTTACCTCTTTAAATGGAACATTGAACATGTGAAATGTGAACAAAATATATAGCTTACCTCTTGGGCTGGGATGCCAATTCCCGTGCGTGTGTAAAACCAACGGGGAGCTGTTTGTATATTGGTTTGAACAAAACTGTAGTTCCTTTCATATGTTAACACTCAAATTCATCGAAATCATGGATGAAATAAAGAAATTTGTGGCAATTATCTCTTCATTTGATGCAAGTGGAACCATATTAGACCATATCTAACGACATTTGATCCACATTGATTTCATTTTCCTACCAATTCTGTCATACATGAATGTTCACATTATGCATCATGCGAACCTAGTCTCAGCGTCTGGTGATGACGTAGCCATGGCAACATGCAGCGACAGAAAAGTCTGCAGATTAACCTGGCGCGTTTGATTCGTTTCCAGGATATCTCTCGTTATTCGGTGGTTTTAACACGAACATTCGTGCCAATTTCTGATGACTGCGTGCTCACCGATTCAATGCGTTTTGGAATCCCCTCACTCATCTGTACCGCAAATTACCCAGGGTATGATGTGTTGTGTTATTGTAAGATTACTGTCGTGACTATTGTTGTATTGGCTCCCAGCGGGCATTTTTCATTATAAGAACATTAAAAATAAATATGGCCCGCAATTGTGTCAGTCATCAATTATTAAAGATGAAGTTGAGTTCTGGTCATGCGATTGTATTGTGAAAGAAACGGTGTGGAACCGACCAGAAAAGGTTGATCATCTAGCATATAAGAATTTATGTGTATTGCAAGGTTCTGGAATCATCAAAATGATAAGAAATTTGGCCAAGTCTTGGTAAAGTTACAAACACTGTACACAGAAAGATGTATATGGGACTACACAGACACATGGCGTAAAAATCCGGCCCCGATTTTTACGATGTTACATGCATATTTAGAATATGAAGGCATTTGAAGAGCCATGTTTTTCAGGAGGCATGTCTTATCTGATGTTCTTCCACACTTGCATAATAAGAATGAGTAACGCTCACAAATCATTTTTCACCTCTTCCCAGAACTCAACCTTCTCTTTAAGCATTAAAAAAAGTGTATTAATCAGAGATGAAGCATTATATATTAGTATAAGGCAATTGTTTTATAATTAAGGTCGGAAATACCACAAAATTTATACGTGTTGTTTTCGTATTAGTTTCCCTAAACTTGAAATTTCCTTCATAGAGTAATAATTTTTGGTCTGTTAAGCTCATACCGTGCTACTTGACTTACTAATTGACCGCATTATATAGGCAATTAAACCTCACCCTCCCTCCCTACATGACGCTGATAAACAACACAAGATGTACGCGTGCATATGGCACTTACAAAAAAGTAACGAAAGAATAGGGCGGTGATCCCGGGGGTGGCCGGAAATTTTTTGAGAAAATGCATCAACCAAAAATAGAAGAGGCGCAAACTTTATAACCACCATGCAATGATACCAAACGTGTAAATTTACAATGAAAATGATATGTCTACCACCACCCTGGTCTACTGTCGAAATGGTCGATGGATCGACAGGGATGATAAGAAATACGGGGTACGGTATTACCCCTTTAATCATGATCAGCACACCCTTCCTTGCCAAGTTGTGTTGTTTCAGACATGGAATGAATGTTGTAGTAATTGATTGACTCCGAGAGGCAGGTGATCATCCTATCTGATGAATCAATGAATGATCCATGGCCCTGCATGAAGAAATACAGACAGATTAAACATGCTTTGGAAGGAAGGATATTACATTAATTGAGACATTATAGTATAGATCAGGGCCCCGTCTTGTAAAGAGCTGCGATTGATTCGAATCGATCTGAAGTCCCCCAATTAATCGTAACTTTGCGATTGATTGCAAGTTGATACCAATCGCAGGTTATAGGCGATTGATAGTCACTGATTTCAATCGCAAGTTTTATAAAGAGGGGCTCAGGACGTAAATCGAAATTAGAGGATAACTAATGATAGGTAGGGGAACTCGTCATGGGATGGTTGGCGTCGGAAACCATGAGGACATTGGATCGTGCCAAAGAGTTGTAGCACACACTCATTCTCAGTGTTTCCGCTGTAATATGGATGAGTTACAAGGTCACACCCTGGCCCTGATGACAAAAATCCCAAGTACAGTCAAACCTGCTTTAGTGACCACCTGTCTACAAAGACCACCTGTCTACAGAGACCACAGTTTTTGTTTCCCTTGAAAGTGGTTTCTCATTTAAATATGTACTAAAGGAACTTGTCTACAAAGACCATTTTTGTTTTTCCCTTGGGCTTTCACTATAGACAGGTTTGACTGTGTTTTAAAGGGATAATTGGCTGTTTTAAGATAACTACCAGCGTATATTTAACCACACCTTACATAATACAGTTGCGGATCTAATTCGTTCGGTTTGGTCATTGCAGGCGATAAGAATTAGTATTTCCAATTTACAGCCCCGCGTTACACTTCCGGGTTTTTTGCATACTCTTCCCTCCTTTTTCATTATAGGATTAGAATAAGTATTTACCGGGGAAAATCGAATACATACATTCGTCTCTTATGTCCTGTTATCAAGCAGTAGTTGTTTCCTTTTTAATCTCATTCGTAAATCCTGATTTGTATCTCCTTTGATGTCAGACGTTAATTCTACAGTGTCTTGTTTGTAATCAGAATGTTTGAATAGGCCTTTGATCAGTGGCTTTGGTGGTCTTCTTTTGATTGGTCCATCAGCGTCGCGTCTCCACCGGTCTAGACACCATCAAAAGAACCGTGTTCAAATCCCCGTGAATAATCCCCTTCCCCTCCTTAATTCCGCCCCTATTCTTAATCTCATTACAAGCCTCCCTCACTCCCCTTTCAGGAAAGAAAAGAGTGGTTTGTAGCAGAGAAGTCAAATTTGTGCAGGAAGATTAGTTGTGGTATATCCACGATTTATTGAATTGTAAGGTGTTCTTGAAAGGAGTACGTCTCATCCCCCAAAACACCTCCCTGCACTACCCAAAAAAAGAAAACCCCAAAAGTCGATGAACAAAGTGTTTATAGTGTCAGTCTTTCCTATAGCCGAACCGAAAATTTACTGACTGGATAAAGACTGGATGAAGGGATACATGCGATAGCAATGGCAATTATCATGATCAGGTGATGTGAGTCTGATGACGATGACGACAACGACGACGGTTAATATGACGAGGATGATGAGGATTATTGTACATCATATAACCCACATGTACCGACAATATAGTCGTCTATAACCAGTCTTAGTCTTCACATTTCATCATGATGTTCAATGTTCCATTTAAAGATGTGAAACTTCACAAAACCTTATAATTATTTTCATTTTGCTATTCGTAATAATAAAATAATCGAAAACACATTCTTCTCCTCTCTTGACTAGTTTGCCTCGCTACAAGTCTACCTGCCTGTATGTAAAGTCTAAATTAATACGCAATGTATATTGGGTTTTCCCCATTTTTACGGAAATTGTTGTTCTCTGTAAATGTCTGCTGTTCACATCATATAAATCCATCTATTTCCTTTAAATTCTGTAAATAATGAGACCTTTTTAGCGGGACACAGTCGACACACTCCCCGTTAAAATAACTGCTTTCTGTGCAGACACTGTTTTGACTGTGTGTGACAAAATCATGTTTATAAAGGGAAAAACTTTTCCTCTCGACACCCTGTTGCACTATGACAGGTAATAGTTCATTAACACACAATAGAGACTGCGAATCATGAAAACATTCAAGCGAACCGCATAATGAACCATGATTATTTCAATTGATTTAGGCCAGGAAATATTCAATCGAAGACAATTAAAAACAATTATGGGCGTACATGACCGTAATTTCATTCGCAGTTAACGGAAAGCTGAGCTGTGTGTGTGTACTCCGTGTGAAATCAAATTTTCTCAACAACAAAATGTGATTTTGAGATATTATTTCCTTTACAATTCAACCCCATTTCAACGGAAAGAAAGATTATGAGGGTGTACATAATGTTCACATTGCAATCGTCACTATGTAATTTTGCGAACATTTTTTCGCTTAACATAAACATAATTTAATTTTTATTTGGCGGAGAGGCCGGTGTATTACAGGCGTTTCATTTTTTGTTTTCATTTTCTTTCTAGAACCAATATTGACCCTCATTATTAGTATTATTATTTACATTATTATTTGTATTATTATATCATTTGTATCATTATTATTATTAAGCCTCTTATTATTATTATTATTACATATAACATTATTTTTAATTTCTTTCTAATCGTTCTCTTGTTTTCACTAACTAACATCCTGGGCATAACTAAACACGTTAAGGGAGATGAAATTTCAGATTATAAAAGTTTAATAGTAGCTGTCTATCCATCTATTAGAATTAATCGGAACATACCCGCAGCCAAGATCTCTTAATCCAATAAGATTTCTATTTATTTAAAATGAATAAACAACCATGACGTAATAAAGAGCTCACTTTCCTTTTTTTTCTTTTATGACGTCATCAGAGTCAAGCGAGAGTATACAAACAACCGAGCCGCCAGACGACGAGTCTTCAAGCAGACCGATCTCAACGGCGATGGCTTGGTGACCCGGAAGGAATACGTCATACGGAATGGAAACATGACCGAAGAGGAGCTCGACATCCTTTTCGGAGCTTTCGATGTCGATGGCGATCGTAGCTTGTCCCAGGATGAGTTCGTCAGGCACGGATTCTTGTGGGTCGTCGCTCAAGGTATGTGTTCTCATCATCGTCATCGTCATCGATCGCGTTGACGATGTCGCAAGCTATACAGTGGCGTATCCAGTTCATAAACAGTGGGAGGGGGATGTATGGGGATTGGCAGGGAGCATGCTCAGTCCCAAGACAGATTTTTAAAATATTTATATTTAAAAAATATTTGAGCAATTTCATGTGATGCCATCTGAACCCGTCCTTATTTTGCTGGACATGCCACTGGCACAACTTAACACATATGGATCTATATTAAGCATATTTAACAACATTAATCTGCGCTACAACTCTAACTTAAACTAAAAATATCAATCAGACCAAGTTATCTGACCAAATATCTAGATCAAAGCATTTGTGAATGAACTAAAATGGACGCTAACATCGCAAGAAAAGAAATATATTATCTTCATTTTTCAACATCCTATCCGTGCTGTAAACAAACAGTAAACCGTGCTTTAATGCAGACAAGACAATCAAAACCTAGAAAAGAGATAATTATTATGAAAATTGTTATGGGCATGCATTACAAAAATCTTGAAATGTTTTAGGATCGTTATGAATATTCATGAGCTACCCTGGGCAAATCCGCTGCGTACGAAGTCCGTAGATGGCGCCAGTGACTGCCTTGTGACGAGGAAGAACGACCCTCTTTCTTCGGTTCATGTCAGCGTCATCCAATATTCATTTAATAAAAAAAACTCTCTCTCTCTCTCTCTCTCTCTCTCTCTCTCTCTCCATTTAACAATGTTCTTTAATAATAAGATAATGTCATATTCAAGGACTTTGGAGTCGGCAATAATTCGGACAAAGCATTGATAAATTCCATAACTTATAAAATATGTTTGAATTGCATCGAAGCTCGTCCCAAGTTTGCTGGAATGTAAGGATTTCTCTGGATAGATGCAAATTGATGCGACTTAGAAATGTTTTTTCATTTATGTTCATGTTTACCCTTTTCTTGATAGAATGTGAGTTTGAAGCGATAAGACGTTGTGATGATGAGTTCGTGTACCTGATCCGTGCTGCCGACCCCGCTACTGTGGACAACCAACAAGGCATGCTCTGTAAAGCATTCCAGGTAATTGTCTTTATGCTTTTTCGACACCCTTTTCCATGTGTCTATTCCTTTCATTGTTTTTGTTTTTTCATGTTTCTAACCTACCTGACTCATTACCAATTATACCTCCTTCTCATCATCGAAATCTAGACTGGCCAGTGGATTTATTTGTTTGTATTGTTTTCGTTTGGTTTCGCCACTTCTCTTTTATATGTTACATGTTTATCGGTCAAGTTATAAAAAGAGATTGAAAACGAAAAATGTCCTGGGAAAAATTATCTAACTTTGTTTGCAATCATTATTTGAAAAGAAAGTTTCTGACATTAATCGGACTGATATCATTGATAAAGCTTTACTCTGTAGCTTTTAATGCGTTATTTAGACTTTTTTAAAGGCAATACTCTTGAAAGTGATGATGGTTTTGTTTTAATTCCGTATAATTTTTGGAAACTAACATACAGATTTAATTCAAGTCATGATATTAAACAGTTTGTTCTTCCTTGTCTATCTCTCTTTCACCCAGACCTATTTCGATTGCATCGAGCACGAGCAAGTCTCCTGCGACATCACATCCTACTCCCAAGCGGTAATCGACCTCATTGCCACCTACCGCACCGTACACTTCTGTCCCGATCTCGACTTCGGAGGGCTGATGTCGATGACGGACGATGGCGGTGACGACGATGATGATGATGATATGGTGGTTGATGACGGGAATGATCACACTGAGATGGAGCCATCAGAACTGTTGTCGTCTGTGCAGGACCAAGAGACCGATGAGGATGGCCATGAGGTCGTTGGTAACAGGCCTAAAAGGTCCCCTCGCTCAGGTCAGTTCAATCTACTTTTATCATAATTACATACCAACCATACCAACCAACCACATTGAATATTATTAGTGTAGACCTACACCTAGGCTATCTACTTAAACATTTGTTTCCATCTTTGATTTTAGTTTATATATACATTATAGTACCCATATTGACTATTCTAAATGGCTTGTATCTGTCTGTTTCTCTGAAGTAGACGAACAACCAGGATAATCAATGAAACAATATATCTTGATAGCCCTTTAATTGTGACACCCCCCCCCCCCCCTCATAATCGTGACTCTATAGAGGAGAAATAGACTTTCAGATGCATATTTTCGTTTTAATCTTGAATTTGTTGAAGACACAAACATATTTAATTAATTAATAGCTGTCCAGGGTGGAGGGTATCTACAGCATGAAAAGTGAAAATCATCAATCCTTCGAACCAAACTTATCAGGTTCATGAAGTTCTCTGCCGGAATAAAATAAATCAACCATCGGTAGTGTGAAAAACTATGGAGACAGTGTGGACACATGCAGTGAGCTCTAATTTATCTTCTATTTTCTTCTTCCTCTAATAAATAGAACGTCGACATCACTACGGCTCAAGGTTACCGTGGTGGAGTAGAGGGCTGGGGTCGCTGTTCGGCATGGGCAAGGACGATGGCAGCTGCTCGACATCGGCCCTGAAGTCGTGCACGGAATCGTTCAACGATGAGCTCAGAAGCTATGAGACCAAGGCAGATTTCTGTACGAGTCTGTCTGATTATCGACACTGTGTATCGAGACATGCAAGGCGATGTCAGGAATTTGAGCTGCTCGAAGTCGAGAATGGTTTGAGACAGTGGCTGCATCTTCACCATAAATTGGACTTATGCTGAGATGTCTGGGTTTGTCTGGACAGACAAAGATTGTTAAATTAATATGATATCCATGCATCAGTTCTTTTGAAATGTAATCTCAAAGTACGATTTGCGTTTTTGATGTTTTTTAACGATCATTATAATTTAATCATCATTCATAAAAGCTTTGAGTTTGAATTAAAATAGAATAAGAAGCCTCTTTGCAAATAATCAGACAATCTTTTCTATTGTTTAAATTTGAATTTTAAAAATACCATACTAATGATAAGAATGTCGACAAAAATGGTCGACTGACTTTAACTTTTCTTAAGTACAATTTGACTCTTTGTTTTAAGGAATAACAGAATAGTCCACCCATTTAATTTAAGCAGTATGTATTTCGTTTCAACGATTCAAATATAATGATGTTCTGGTTTGAAATAATAAGAACAATGATTTCAACAATCTATATCCAAGATATAATGACATTTAAAGAGACCAATTACTACTACATTGTATAAACTACATGTATATCCTAATTTATTTAGGCAGATCAGAGACGTCACGTACAGAATTTCAATCGCTTAACAGCATAAAACAATTTCGTTAACTTTTTAGTTCTCATGTATGTACTTAAAATGTGAAGAAATCTTTCCTTCTTTTTTTTTTCGTTCGTGTGTGTTCGATAAATTTGTTACTGAATATCCTGAGCTGCATAAAATGCGTCTTATTTTAATGTTCATTTTTTTGTACGTTGTATATTAAATGGTATACAGATTCAGTCGTTTTGTGATGATAAATTATGACGTCTACATTGTTTGAGTGATTAACGACTAATAGTATTCCTTGACGAATGATGATCCATCAAGTTATGCGGAGTTTGAAATAAATAACAAAAATGACTAACTTTTGTAAACTTGAATAAATACAGTAAATAATATTGACTGTACAAATTTTGACGTATTGTATCTTGTGATTAATGTCTACAATAATTTGCATGCTGAACTATGAGTAAGGGTAAGATGATTTTTTTTGGACGTATCTTATGTGATGATAGTTATTATAATTATTCAAGTATTGTTTAATTTTAACTACTGGAAACCCGAAGAGCAGGATGGCATATGAAAGTGTACATTGATGTGTTGAATAATGAATACAATGATGATTAGTTTTAATTCTCTGTTATTCTTATTGACCATAGTGTTGTGAACATTATACGACAATTATGTATGTTGGAACATTGGCATGAATAAAGGGGCTAAACTGGTGGCCATGCACGCATGTGCCCCAACCCGCCAAATTTGTCGTGCTCCCCGCTCAATCTGAGATTTTCGTTTTTCTTTGAGGGCACATGCCTTTTTATTTTTGAAAGCACACTATGTGTGCTCCCGGTCAAATACATTTTGATACAGCAGCCTTGTGAAATACTTCTGTTTAAATAGTAAGCCTCTTTATCGTGATACATTCGGAGGGGTAGTTAAATACCAACAGATAAAACAAAAATAGTGTCTATTGTTATTTATTACCTTATGTATTGGTGCTTTAAGCAACATGTTAAAGCCCCTCGTGTTGGGAGCCCCACAAATTTGATGGCAAAATTTCACTTAAATCAGAGGCTATAATGCGCAAGAGGATGTCATTTAAGACAAAGGTGTTTGAAGTCGAATATTTATGAAAGAATACAAAAATTTAGGTTTTCTGCATAACAGAAAACCCAAATTATGTATTCTTTTATCAATATTTGTCTTCAAACAGATTTGTTTGAGGGGAATTTTTGCAGCAGTGTGCAGGCGCGGATCCACGGGCGGGGAGGGGGGGGGGCGACGGGCTTGGCCCCCTGGCAAAAAAAAGATGATTTAGTGCTTACCCCCCCCCCCCCCCCACTTATCTCACGAATTGGGCAAAAAAAGTGCTCCATTTCAAATTTCAAGCCCCCTATTGGGAAATCCTGGATCCGCCCCTGTGTGTCCTAAATGACATCCTCTTTCACATTATGATACAAGTTAAGTGAAATTTTTGGCTCCCAACACAATCGACCGGATCAAGGTCTAAATGAGACGCCAGCATATAGGAGAACTGTGCACGCTGGGCTAACCAGGATAATGCACCCCCCCTTTCAATTTTCAATTAAATTGTGAATACAGTTTTACACCATTAGTGCAAACGCGTAATGTTACATTACTACCTGTATTTTGTGTTTTGTATTGATTTTTAATTTGATTTCTAGGTTTCGTGTTTTTGCGGATGTTTGGATAGTTTTGTAAAGATGAATGAAATTCGTTCAAAAAACGTGATCTCTCTAGTGATACATGGGCATAAGTCTGTGATATGTGTTTGTTTTCACCACTTGCTACATTTTGTATGAGTCGACAGCCTTGTTTAAGCTCATTAGCATCAGCGGGTGGGGGGGGGGGGTACGACGTAAATAGTTGTGTAGCTATTCATTACGACTACCATAGAGCCTATTTTGTTTTTCTAGTTTTCTTTGAGGTGTTCAAAACACATTTATTTTTAATGAATTGAGCTACATGTATCTATATTGTTGACTGTTTTGTTATGAATTAAAAACTGCCGTTGAAACTTCGTAAAATGTGGACTCATCGCTTTTTTTTCTTTCGTGCATTCTTTCGTTTTACATGTGTTTAAAAAATTGTTTATATGTAATTATGTACAATGTAACTGCTACTACTACTTACTAGTAATCAAATTAATATTAATAATACCAATCTTTGATACCGATAAGACTGATTTCCTTGAACCATCGACCCAGCCCTACTGCTTTTGTACGTTACTCGTTTGTAAATTCATTTTTACGGACTTGGCATTACCACAAAATCCCCTCCTGTCTGAAGTGTTCAAACTTCGAAATACATTCTAGAAAGTTCTGAAGAACTGTCTTGTCATAAACAATTTTTTGTGGGTACAGCAGGTCGATTAAACCATCTTCATAATACATACATGTACCGGTGTACTAGTATTTTATCATATGAAAAGATCATCCCACCTGCCGATTTAAAAATGACTTCTATAAACATCCTCATTAGGGATACTGGGGAAATAAAACCTCTCCGTGAAAATCTTTTTTTTTCGTACGATGTTATTCATGTAAGGAAGGGTATTAACAGATTTACTTATATTTTCAGTTCACTATCAAATAAAGGAACCCGGTTAGAACAGGCAATTTTCTTCTTAAATTAAAAAAATATATCTACTAGTCTGTCTTTTGACACAAACTAAATTTAAATATTTATAAAGTTACAAAAAAAAAAAAAAAAAAAAAAAAAATCACACAAAAAAGTAGAGTATCACATGTTTCTTTCTTGAAGTTTGGGTGGCTCTGATAAGAGCCGTTTGGATTTTGAAGAAAAGATGGCCGTTATAGCCTGCAAACTAAGGAGCAAGTTTACTTCTTGGCTGCCTTCTTTGCTGCGGGCTTCTTGGCGACCTTCTTGGCTGCCTTCTTTGCTGCTGGCTTCTTCGCTGCCTTCTTGGCTGGTGCTGGCTTGGCGGCTGCCTTCTTTGCAGCTGGTTTCTTTGCAGCTGGCTTCTTGGCTGCCTTCTTAGCGGCGGGCTTCTTGGCCTTCTTGGCAGCAGGCTTCTTGACCTTCTTGGTGGTCTTCTTTGATGCCTTCTTGGCGGCAAGCTTCTCCTTCTTGGCCTTGCTCCTAGCAGCCTTCTTCTCCTTGGCCTCCTTCTTCTTGGCAGCAAGCTTGGCCTTCTTGGCGGCGTCACGGGCCTTCTGGGCGTCGGACTTGCCTTCCTTCTTCTTGCCAAGCTTGAAGGATCCGCTGGCTCCCTTGCCCTTGACCTGGACGAGGGTACCCTTCTCGACACCAGTAATGAGAGCACGCTTGATGAAGATAGCCTGCTTCTTGATGTCTACGGTGTAGTTCTTCTCGATGTACTTCCTGATGGCTTGAGCTGAAGAGCCACCTCTCTCCTTCAGGGCTGTGATGGCAGCGAGGACCATCTCAGCAGAGCTGGGGTGTGCTGGCTTGGCACGGGGCTTCTTTGCAACTTTTTTCTGTTCGGCGGCCATGATGAGATGAGTTGGAGTTAGCGAGTTTGGTAGTAACGAGTAGAGAGCGAGTCAACGAATGATTCAACTTCCGCGGTTTCCCAGATCTATATAAAATGCGTGCGGACGTGGGGGAAAACAGCGACGTATGCTCGCTACACAGCCCACTGACACTACGTGTACATGGCGTATTATGGCAATAGCGTTTTCGGGTGTGTTAGTAAGGTGTTGGAAACTCTTCGATTTCTTTTCAATTAAGATATGAAATCTATTTCTAGTTAATTGTTTTAGACAGAGAACCTTTCAAGCTTCAATTTGATACCTTTTTCTTTATAATTAATAAAGTATTCACTGCTTACTGAATGGTCAAACTTACAGTTACAGAATCAGATTTAAAACTTGTCAAACTTCTCTTAAAATTTCATATAAAATGCAAATTCTCGGAATTTTCAGTTTATAATTGTGTTTAATAGACATTATTCTCAAGCATCGACCAAAAATTAGAATGTTTTCGATTTATTTTAATACTTTGCAAAGCGTCAGAAAATGAGCTTGCCAAACACAGCTCTGAGGCGACTCCCGCCTGATTCACCGAAAGACGCTCTTTGACCGCTAGTCCCGAGGACAAAAACTGTAATGAAATGTCTCATTTTAGGTAAAATTCAACGCATTTCTATGGATATTAAGGCATCAATAGAAGTAATATGTCACAATCTATATTTGTACTGAATTTCAATATATTTAGAGATCTACTTCTAATATAATTCAGACATAATGCATATTGTTGATAATTTGCATACTGATGGTTGTGGAAAATACTTCCAGCAAATTCTGGTACGTCACAACTCTATCGGTGTAATTTTAGCGAGCAAAAATTCGAAGGAAAAATGCATTTCTCTCATAAAATTACCTTTTGTTTGAGATTTTGACACTCTAAATGATGATGAAATTGTATTTCTGATGTTTGAAAGTCATATTTTCACTTTTTAGCTCATATTTCTACATAATCATTGCCAAAGTTTAGCTGAGCTTTGGCAAGCAAAATACCGAGTGTGAGTGCGTCACTCGAACAAAATGAGTTGAGAGTCGACGCCATTGAAAATTCTCATAAGAAAATTTGAGGAATAAAATTGCCAAATTAACCGTTTAATTGTTTGTTTAAACAAAATCTAAAACTGATTTGCTAGTATGATGATACTTTATGTCCATCTACTCAATGAATAGGTGATTTATTCTTTATTTCTGATAAATTCGACAATTTTATCATGTCATCGGGATTCGTGAAATGTGTTAGGCGTACGGATGACCAGACTGCCGATTTGTTTTTATTTCATGGCTGGGGATTTCAACAAAGATCGAACGACGTGGTGGAATGATTATTTTAAATGTCAAATTTGGTGTAAATTGTTTGTTTTTTCTCGAGATATGTATATATTAAGCCAATTAAATACTATTTTTCAGTTTATGGCTTATCATTCTTCTCTTTTTATCACATCAAGTTGGTAAACTTCATCATATTTCAATATGATCAAATGAAGTACTGCGCTTTTTTGTGACTTCATTTTATGTCGAAGACGAGCGTATGCAGTACAGCATGAAACTTTTAATCTTGCCTGCAAAAAATTTTCTAAATTTTGTTTGAGGTTGAGATAAATTTTTTAAGAAAGAGCAAATACAGATAGAATAAGGATATAGATCAAGTTTCTGTACTTTGTATATTTTTCTCAATTTATCTGCAATACATACGAATTAAAACATCAATGGAAGCTGCAGGCTAAAAGTGCACTGCAAGGAGCCTGTGAAATAGAGCGGTGATTATGAGAACAAACTGTTTATAACTTTCATGCGACTATAATATAGATGTGCCAACTTATGATGTAAAAAACTTAGTAGGTCTATCTCTATTACATTTTTTATGTTACAAATTACAAAAAGCTTTATGAACTATAAGCTTAATGTACCTTTAGGAACTAGGAAGCTATTATGTCGGCCTATAATCGTTTTATGCCGGGTTTTTCTATCCACGGTACAGGCCTATGCCGAGTATTTTTTCATTTTTTTTTTTTTGGGGGGGGGGCCGAGTGTTACATGAACCTGAAAGGACTGCCTTGCAAAATTATCATATATTATAGGCCATATAATTATAGTTTTTTAGTCCGTTTCAGTTACTTGAGGTTCATCTATAGCCTAGCTATTGCACCTTCATTTTCCTTCAATCCCATTTATTCATGCATTGACTCACCTGAATGTATTATTATTATTGGCTTGTTATTGCCTCAGGAGTAACTTAACACCGAAAGAGCATCAACATAACAGTTGTGATGTAGCTTCCAGCTGAACACATTGATTGGTTTTATCTACACCCAGATCAGATATTATATTTGCATTAATACAATTTTTATTTATTTTAATTACACAAACGTCGATTTCTAAAAAAAAATTAGTGCAAGAAATTTAAAAAAAAAAGGAATTTTATTCATGTTATTCTATAATGAGGGAGAGAGCAAAATTATTCAACAAGGTTTTGATAAAGCACAATTATAATTATGTCGGGGAGCATAACGAGAGTTGGAATTTGGTATACTTTAAAAGAAAACGTTATTTAGGCCTATGCACTGCATTTATTAGGGGCGCAAAATCATGGGATCTTGAAGGAACATAATATACCAGGAAGGTTCTGAAAATTTCATCATAAACCCTTCAAAAATATTCATCATGCACTTTATTGATTGGGGGCGTATACAATTCTTTATGTAACTTTATCGCCTTTTTTGCGCCCCCTGCAAGTGCCATCCAGTATCTTTAGAAGTTTAGATACTGCAAATTGAAAAATAAATAAATAAAATTAAAAGATACTACGAGTTGAAAAATGAAGAAAAATAATGAATTTCTAAAAAGCTCCCCATAATGACATAAAATGAAGCCGCAGAAGTATAATTGTAAAAATCTAGCCTATAATGATGTGTCCTGATCTGATACAATAAAAGTATACTGTTTTATTGTACATCGATCAAGGTAACATTCATTGTCATTTCTATCAAAGATGATAATCTCGACAAAACACAATTTTATCAACCGTAGAAATGCCAATGTCGCATTTTTATTTTCATTCTATAAATTTACAATAACTAGGCCTAACTCATAGGTTGTTACCACCGTATTTTTTTATGAAATATCCACATTGTCACCTGACATGAGGGCATTGATCTATTTGAATGAAAAAGATGATTGACAAACTACAGGGTGTAAGGTATTTTAAAATGTAGCACATGATGATGATGTTGATGATGGTGATGATGATGATGATGATGATGATATGCTGCTGATGATGATGATGAGTTATGCTGAAGATGGTGATGATTTGATTTGATTTGTTGATTTCTATATCAAATTTTAAACGTATATATTTTAAACATACATAATGTCCATCAGTGTGATTTAATTTACGTTTCAAAGTATACAATACATGATACTCATACTGTATAAAACATAAACAATACATAGGAGAACATTACTCACTTTAAAATTAACATGATATAGGAGGGATCCAGCGTAAGCATGAAGCTTGAAATGCTCAGGGGAGCCCTCGATTAAAATAAACTATTGTTATTTAAACTAAACTAAAATAATTTAAACCAAACTAATTTAAACTAAACTAACAGCCTTTAGTATAGATTAAACATAATGAAGAGAGAGAGAGAAAAGATAGATAGAAAGAGGGGGAGGGGGGGGGGGCTGTAGATTTCAAAAATCCCAGACACCTGTTGACATGATCGTGATGGTGATGGTGGTGGATTCTTGCATGTGTCTGCGTCTTTGTTGGGGGGGGGGGGGGGGTGTCCACTCGCTATTCATAACGACCGCTATTCATAATTTGAGAAAAGGGTCATTATTCATAAGGACGCTATTCATAATCGAAAAAGAGGGTCGTTATTCATAAAACAAAATCGGGGTCGTTATTCAATTCAATTTAGTTAAATTAATATTTATTTCTTATCCAACAGAAAGATAAACATTGGTATTACATTGTTTTCATACACAATTCATTTTTTAGAGTATCCAAATACACTTTGCACATAATAAAATTATTACAAGAAATTCTTAATTTCTGAGTAAATGGGGGGATCCACTAAAAAGCAGTGCTTGTAGTTTATGGAAAAAAGAAAAGAATTATTTAAAATTTTGCCTACAAAGCCTTGGAAAACACTAGACAATATTACAAAACAACAAACAACCACGAAACGACCCATATGGGTCCCTATTCGAGAAGACGGAGAAGAGCGACTCCGATTCCGTATTATGAATAGCGGACCTTACGAATAAAGGTCCGTATGCCTTTAAAAGCCCTATAATATGAATAGTGACCCCTTTCCGTGTAATGAATAGCGGTCCTTCAACTTGTGGGAAGTTACACGTTATGAATAGCGGTCATCTGGTGTGCGCTCTTTGCCCTTGCTCCACAATTCTTGGTCAGTGTATCATGTTAAGATTTATTTTCGAAAAGTCTTTGTGGGCAGTAGTTATCATAACAACATGTTATTAATCTCCTCATTTTCCTAGAGTCCCTTTGACAATTCACCCATTCGTTTTCTAAAAAATATAAATTTAGAAAAATAGGCATTCTGGGCTCTTACACACATGTACATAGCTATGAGTTACGGTTTAAAACGAAGCTCTTTAACCTAAACACATCTTTATTTTAAACTAACAGAATCACTGATTTGGATTTTTAGTTGCGTTTAAGAATTTTGTATATTACAGCTGAGGGTCCTGCATTTAAAGCCCCCCCCCCCCTTTAGGGGGAGGGGGTTTAGGGGGAGGGGGGGGGGGACATTTCTCGTGTCAAGCCAGAAACTCCTTGGTCAAACATGCACTTCCTCCAACGCCCCCTCACCCCAAAGACAGCTTTTGTTCCGCAACCCCCACGCACACATGATTTAGATATTTGAATCTGTCTTTTGTTTTTATTGATCGGTGAACATGGTAGTGGGACTACCTATTTTACGTACTCTGATTTCGGATTTCCTTTTGTATTGTTATCGACCGGGCCACGGAAGCTATTGTACCCCTCCCCCTCCCT